TTACTAAGCTTATTTCGAAAAGATTTCCTTAACCTTTGTCGCATATTTATTTAATGATTATGTGTGTATTGTGAAGGGAGGGGGGGGTCTTTATCAGTTATATACATACAATTGTACATACATTTTGACGTTTTTTTGTATATTTTTATTGTTGTTTTTATACCTATATCATTTTTTACGTATGAATTAAAGTACAATTTGTTTTTGATTTGATGTTGTTGTTTTTTTGTTGCTGTTTTTGTTTGTTTTTATGCAGTCATTCATTGGAACACAATTAAACGCAAATTTTTTTATTAGTTTACTTAATTTTCTATAATTTTGTTATAGAATCCAAGTAAATTATAGTTGGGGAATAACCGGCCATTTTATAGGCTAAACCTATAGGTCCGCTAGCAAAATGTAGATGTAATAAAAATGGGACATAAATTTTAACCTAAAGTCAGATTTGATCAAAATTGCGATTTGTCATTTGATACATGGATAGGCTTCATCGCCTTAGAACATGTTTTTGAGTGGAGTTCATGATGAAACTTTATTTCTTCCAAGAAAGTTGAAATTACCCCCTACAAAGGTTTTTTTCTTTGTTTTCAAGTAGGGTGTTTGTTTTCAAGTAGGATTTTTCGGTTTTGTTCTAAAATTAAACAAAAAACACATGTGTTTACTTAGTTTATTGTTAGACTTATTTGGTGGGTTAAAATTTTAAGTATTAGTACCAACCTATAATAAATATTAACGATTTTATTATTGTATTTAATAAAAAAATATTTATTTTCTTTTAAATTTCTTGTTTAATACTTAATACTTTGATACTTTCACAATACAGTTGGGATCAACTAATTAGGGCACTTTATGTAAGCAATAGCTAGCAATAACTAATAGTCTTGTCTATAATCGAGACAATATCCTATCTATAGTCAATTCTATAGTTGAGACAATTGTCTTGTCTATAGTCATATAGTAGTATATGGTCAAGTCTATAGTCTTGTCTTAAGTGGATGCTATTGTCTTGCCCATATTCAATATTATAGTTTTGTTTATAGTCGAGACTAGTTGGGGCACTTTATGTAAGCAATAGCTAGCAATAACTAATAGTCTTGTCTATAATCGGGACAATATACTATCTATAGTCAATTCTATAGTCGAGGTAATTGTCTTGTCTATAGTCATATAGTAGTATATGGTCAAGTCTATAGTCTTGTCTTAAGTGGATACTATTGTCTTGCCCATATTCAATATTATAGTTTTGTTTATAGTCGAGACTAGTTGGGAAAATAGTCTCGTCTATAGTCGAGACCATAGTGCTGTTCACAATCAAGACATTATTCTTATCTATAGTCAAAAAGTAGTGAAGACTAGGATAAAGACAAGACAATAATCTTGTCTTTAATAGAGACTTTATAATAAAAAATTGACTAAACACAGTCCTATCTATAGTCCAGTCTATAGTCGAAACAATAACATTGTCTATAGTCGAGTCTTGTATATCGATGAGCCTATAGTCTTGTCTTTAGTCAAGACTATTATATTGTCTATAATTTAGTCTGTTTTCTTGTCTAAAGTCGAGACTATAGTTTTGTCTATATTGTAGTCGAGACTATAGTCTACCTATAGTCTAGACAATGTCTTATCCACAGGTGTTATTACTCCAACGACTACATAAACTACTCTCTTGACGAATGCAGAGGATAATCTATTAACTTCATAGGAAGTTAAGTCACATTTACTATAAGTGAGATTAACTTACAGAAATCTACACTGAACAAGGTTCGATATTCTTCCAGATTTGTCCGGTACTACCGAGCATCCTCATTATACTCTCTGTGCCCGTTTATTGCAGAATTAGAAGCCATTAGATAGCTTGTTAATGAGTTTGATATAACAAGAAGAGCTTTATTATGAGATTTTAAGCATAATCCGGCTCGAAGGACCAAACTTTTTCTTGTTATGCTGTTGTAGGAGTTTGAGTTGAAGCGTTTTGAATTCTTTTAATACTCCTATCTATTATAAGCAGTGAACTGTTTTAGAGTAAGGTGTTCTTTAAAACAGTTAATAAACTTTTATACGTTTGAAAGTTATATAGAAAACTTTTATACACTAAACCATTATATAGTAAACTGTTATACAGTAAACTACTCCATATAGACTTTAATGGCTTAGTTTAAAGAACTCATAGTAAGCCTAAAAGCCTAAAGACTATAGTTTTTAAAAATCATTTGTTGCCTTTTTACCTCCACAATTGATTGGTTTATTAGATAATTTTTAAAATAAACCCTGCTATTCTTTTTATACATATATCTTTTTCTTAATTATTTTAAATATTTTCTTCTTAGATAGTAAAGTTCTATGAGTTTTGTATAAATTACAGTAACTACCGCTATAGCTGATATATTATTTTTGTTATTTTTATAAAAAAACGTGATTGTTTGTTCCCACTCGTTCTATTTTTCAAACACATTTATAACAAATTGTAGCACGTATGCATAAATTTGAAAACTAATGT